TCCGATGATGTTAATTTTCTGATTTTTAGAGAAGTGGGCCCGGGGCTCGGGTTTTGCAAATTTCGTGAATTTTGATATTTTTCGAGTCTTTTCGATTGGGGTATGTTCCCTTAGCCTATTGTAACGTATTCGTTGTGGTTTTGATCAGATTCGACGTGCGAGGAGGTCGATTTGCGAGGCAAGGGCATATCGAGCTAGGATTTTGGCCGGCTTGAGGTGAGTAATGATTGTAAATGATATTCTGAGGGTTTGAAACCCCGGATTGCACATCATAGTGCTATGTTGAGGTGACTTGCACGCCGTATAGCGAGCGTGGGGTAGAGCACCGTTGGGGATTGTGACTTAGTCCATCCCGATCAATGACTTTACCACGTATTTTATTGAAATCAGTTTCCTATCATCATTATTTGGGCTGAATGCCATATTTGGGCGTGCCAATTATTTGAACCCTTCGGGGATTGTTGTTGATGTTTCTCACTGTATCGACTTTATACTTGAACTCAGTCATGTTATTTCTACTGTTTTCAAACTCAGCCACGTTTACTCTGTTTTAATACTCAAATGATATTTAAATGATGTTTTGGGCTGAGAGATACTGTTTTACTGTTGCCCGAGAGGCTATGTGATTTTTGACTGAGTAAGGCCGAGGGCCTGTGTTGTGAGGATACTTTTGGATCGGGTTGCACGCCGCAGCAATGTTATACTGATATTGATATGAGGCCGAGGGCCTAGTTTGATGCCACGAGATGGCTTGATATTGCGCTTGGGCCGTAAGGGGCCCCTCCCGGAGTCTGCACACCCCCAGTGAGCGCCGTCGACGATAAATGGATCGGGCTGCACGCCGCAGCGATATGTGGAGCGGGCTGCACGCCGTAGCGGTACCGGTACTGTTTGATGTGTTTACCTTATTTCATTGTCTGCCATTATATGTTGTTTGTGCTACTTCTTGCAATATTTACCTGTTGCTCTGGTATTAACTGATAACTGAGTGTGGTGCCCGAGAGGAGGACTTCTGTGCTTATCTGCACTATTTGTTTTGTATTCAATTGCATAAATGTTGAAAAAGTCATTTTCAAAAGAGGTTTTAAACTGAGCTAAGATATTTCTAAAGGTTTTATAACTTCACTGCTTTCTCTCAAAGGGTTTTTCACTGTCCCTATATAGCATGATGGGTTGCTTTACGTGATTTCTTACTGCTCAGTTGTTATTTACCCTTATTACTCACTGAGTTGGAGTACTCACTTTACTCCCTGCACCTTGTGTGCAGAAGCAGGTATTTGTTCACCCGATAGCAGGTTTTGAGCTGATCGGAGGCTAAGTTATCAGAGTTTAGCGAGGTGACTGCCAGCGTTCGCAGCACTACATTTCTTCCTTTTTTTGTTTATCAGTCATATTTTGTTTATTTCAGGCCCTGTAGTTGTATTTGTACTCTAATAGATGATCGTGACTTGTAACACCCCGATTAGGGTTGTGTTGGACTGTATTTCTGCTAATTAAGAGTATTAAGTCATATTTAAATTGCTTATGAACTGTTTAAACTGTTTTAAAAGGATGAATTGGGTAGTTGGCTGGCCTTGTCCCCACGAGAGGCGCCATCACGACCGGGTCCAGGTTTGGGTCGTGACATAGACCTATTCCCATAATCAAGATAAATTACATTTAATCTTGTACTACAACCATTCCGATGATTTGTCCAATTCCATCATAGATTGTGAACATTAACTTTTATGTCTTACAAGAACCGATGATTTAATCTTCCGTGTATAAGCTAAACTCTATACACTAAATCATATACTATGTAAGCAATGGACACACAAACCAATACATGATCTATTTAAAAGGAAACTTTATGGAATTTAAACAAGTAAATAAATAATTGGTCTTCAGAACACTGCTGCAGATTCTGAAGGCCACTCTGGCCGCGGTCCTGGCGTAACCGCGGTAGGACCGCGACAGAACACTGCTGCAGATTCTGAAGGCCACTTTGGCCGCGGTCTTGGCGTAACCGCGGTAGGACCGCGACAGGACGCGTATGGCTTATAGTATATTCTAACACGTACAACGTCACTCTGTTGGACCGTCACTTGTGGAGGAGGAGAAAATTCTTAATGCAGCTAAATCACTCATTGACAAGGCAAAGGGAAAAGGTGTAACTATAAAACTTCCGTCTGATGTAGTCATAGCAGACAAGTTCGGGGCTAGCGCTAATGCCAAGGTTGTTCCTGCATCTGAAATTCCACATAATTGGATGGGGTTAGATATTGGACCAGATGCTATCGAGTCTTTTAGTGCAGCTCTAGATAGCGCCAAAACTATCGTCTGGAATGGACCTATGGGTGTTTCCGAGTTTGACAAATTTGCTGCTGGAACGGATGCTATTGGTAAAAAATTGGCACAACGTAGCAGGTAGCGAATCTGTCGCTGCTGTTCAAAAGATGGGGCTCGCGGACAAAATGAGCCACGTGTCAACGGGAGGGTTTGCGAGCTTGCAGCTTCTCGAGGGGATTCCGTTTACTGGGATGATGGTACTTGACGATGATGATGATGCACCTGTTGAAAAGGTGTGACTCGCGGACAAGATGAATCAATTATCTTGAGTTATTTTTGAAAAATCCAAATATTCAATGTAGATAAAGAGAAAATAGGTTTAGGTATTTTAGATCTGAACCAGGTGAGAGTTGAGCGAAGGGAATGCCTTCACCTTCTTCTCCTCAGCTGAGAAAAAGGTAAACAAAATGGCTTCTTCTGTCTCGCCACTTTGTACCATATATGCTCCAAGGGTGAAGAAATTGGCTTTTGGGAGAAATAAATTACTGTACAAATTACTATCTCTTTTTTCACACATGGAAGATTTATTTTTACCGATTTAATTTTTTTACACATAGGAGAATTAAAAAGAATACTTTCTTAATTTTAACATTATAAATAGCCATGAATTCCCATTTCCTCTTATTTAACGGGGGTCTTGATTTTTTTTGGTATAGTAATCGACATTAACTTTCGATAAAAAAGATCTTTCTCTCAGTATCCAACAAATAACAAATTATTCGAATAATATCTTCTTCTTTTCTTATAAGCGTATAGTTTTCGAGCCAACTTGCGTACACCTCAACGAATTCCACGAGATACCTGCATTCTTAACCCACTTCATTGACCACTAGGCCACACCCTTGGGTACAAATTATTCGAATAATATAACTTGGTAATTCCATTGAAAAATATTCACAGTTGAATAATGAAGTCCAACTAGTACAAGTTAAATTAAAGTAGAGAAAGTAAAAGTTAGTAGCACATATTTCCAACCACAATATGCTACAATGATGGAGCATAGTGAAGGGTGCGCTTAAGAAAAGAAAGTAGACAAGCTGCCCCATATCTTTCAACCAAAGTCCAAATTAACTTTGTCACAATAAACGTACAACACAAAGTCCCCATAATGTGTAGTAGTGTTTTAGAATTTTCCAAATACAAAGAGGAAAAACAGAAAATTAGCAGGCAACGGGCAAGAAAGAAAAGTACAAGGAGGATGTGTTTATTAGTTGTGAAAGGTGACAGCCAAGGGGTCTGCTAAATGTGATGTCCTTCTATGACATTAACAATAATACACATATGGGACTGTCCAGTCTCCACTCCTTCCTCTCCACTACCCACACCTTTCTTTCAGAAAATAAAATATTTAAATTGGTTCTTGTAGCTACTAGTTTAATTTTTATCCACCATATGGTATAAATGACTTTTTTAATTAAGTAATATAAAATCAATTATAGGCAATTGTCTACCTAGAAGATTATATTGGGCTTGTCGTTGTTGTTGTCGAGTGAAGGCGAGAACATGAAAGGGGATAACATTCCCTAATAGAGCTTCTATAGGAGAGAGCATATGGCAAGTTAAATGGACTGATCCACTTATTAGCCCCCAAATTTAGGTATTCCTTTAACAGACAGGTACATTTTAGCTATTTCGAAACAATCAATAGGCTACTTCGATGTTGGAGCTTGAATTCAAGTATTAGATTAATAAGCCTTATTAGGGATCTTTTTTGTTGGGAGGGTGGTGGAGGGCTCCCCAATCCTCGCAATTCCCGTTAGATAGCCTGGTGTAGAAATTTTTTATGTTGTTAGTGGATATGGGTTAAATTCGTCGTATATTAAATTTACATGATCAAACTAATTAAATTAAGTAAAAAACCTAAAATGAAAGAAAAATGAATATTATGGTTTTTTTCTTTTCACTACATAAGTGTTCCAACCCAGCACATCTACATCAGGACCTTGTTACTATTTGCTGTATTGGATGGCGACACTTTCAATTAAGGGTGTCTAACAGGTGGATCGGGGCGGGCTGGGTAGGAAAAAGTTGAAATCGTTCGGGTTTCAAACCGGGCCGATTACGGGTTAGGGGTTACCGGGCTTAACGGGTTCGAATTTATCCGGGTAAAAAATGAACCGTAAGGGTTACGGGTCCAAGGGGCCGGGCCGGATTAGTGTTTTTTTTTCTTTTTTGCATTTTGTATAACTATTGTAATTTATATTAATATAAAGTAAAAATATAAAGAATACAATGAAAATGGAAAAAAATTGCACTTATAAATTGCAAGTGCTACATTTATTTCAAAATTCAAACTTACAAATTGAAGGTTTACATTTAACAAGTAAATTAACGAAAAAAGAGTAAATTCAAAGGTTTGGCATTGCCTTATACTCTAAAACCTTAAAAAAAATAAAATTAAAATCTAGCCTTTAAACCGGGCCGGTTAACCGGTTCTACAGGGATTTTGGTTGACCGGGTTTGACCGGTCCGGTTAACCGGATGAATTAAAGTGAACGGACCAACCCCTTAACCCCAGTAACCCAGCCCACCCGGCCCCCTAAGTACCGGGTCTGGCCGGTCCGGGTTTCAACCGGTCTGGGCCGGACCTGTCCGGGGTCAATCCGGCCCGTTTGACACCTCTACTTTCAATTGCCAAACATTGTGAAATTCCTCAACTATGTATTCCCAGACTCCCCTCTACTCCATGCTTATTATAATTCCTTGATCTATTTCCTCCCCATAACTTTAGATAGTTTCTTGATCCTTAGCACAAAATAAATTCACTCTTTTATATGTCATTAAAAAGGACATTTATCAGTTCATATATTCTTGATATTCTCTTTGCAATGGAGCTGAAGATCACTAGCTTAACTGCCATTTTCTTCCTCTTCCTCCTCCTGATTGGACCTTGTTCTTCTTCAGGTTTGTCTTCAAAAGAAACTTATATCTATTGCTTATGATACAATTGTTTTTTTCTTTACTAATTGTGGTAGCCAAAATGAATCTTATTTTGTCCATTAATTCCTAGCTAGCCCATTTATGACTAAAGGAAATGGTATTCTTTTTACAGGAAAAATGGATTTGTTAAACATGGATTCGGGAATTTATGAAATTGATTATAGAGGTCCAGAAACTCATACTTATATTCCTCCACCAACTGGATCAAGGGGAAGGCATAATTTTCAACACCAAAGCATGTTACAACATCGCAAATTCAAAGGCTTGAGAGCTAGTAAGATCAGAGAAAAGGTAATTTAGACATATACTCTCTTCCTACATATGAACTATTTAATGTATTATGAATTCACGTAGAGGCAGATCTACGATTTTAAGAGACCACTGATTGATATTACCACATCAGTATCTTTTTTGTGATAATAAATTCAAAGTTGATACAAAATTATAGGTCGAAAAATAAACTTGTACACATAGAATTCAAGTCGAAGATAATAGATGGCTTAAATATAGATCATAATAATACTAGTAATAGTCCAATTTATGATTATAAACATTCTTATATGAATAATAATATGGGAAAAATAGAAAATTTTAGATTGTAGCTGCTTGATAAAAAAAGAAAATAAAGACGTCTTCTAGTTTCAAAAACCTCTTGCGAGTATTCTTTTCGATTATAATCGATGGAATCGATGCCCTTGTTCCCATGGACTTTTTTTCCTTATTTTAATTCTCCCAATTTATTAGGAATTAAGGTGTAGTTGTTCTTTCTTATTCAATTTCTGATTTAGTATTTGGCTTTTTGTAGGGGAAGAAAATTCATAGATGAATTTCTTAGAATGTGATGTGTTTGGGGTGTTCTTTTGAAATTTGGATCAGCAATCAAGAAGAGGTGCTTCTTTGAGATATACTTAGAGAAAATGTTGTCCAGCATCTGGAGAATCTAGAGAGGAATTTAATCAAATATCAAATGCATTAGCTTGGGATTTTTTAAATTACCTTATAATATATCTACGAAAAATTGTATAAATGAGCCTTGTGGGACTTTGATTAGTGCAATTATATTCATTATTATTCAATAAAATCGTTGTCATTCAGCATTTATTTTGGACTATCCTATTCCATAAACCTATGTTTTAATTTTTCTAGGACTCGAAGAAAAATTATGTAACATCTTCAAGTCTTAGAAAAATCAACCCATATCAATAAATGATAGCTGACTATTTCCAAATGGCCTCATATATGTTCCAACAACTGATGTCTAATCAGGGGCGAATCTAGCTTATAGTAGGGGTGTTCAAAATCGAACCGCAACCGTTAATCAAATCGAACCGATGGCTTATTGGTATTGGGTTATCGGGATAATAGATGGTGAACAAATTGAGATTTTATAATTAACGGCTTAATGGTTTGGGGGCGAATTACTCAATTTTCTTATCGGATAAACCGTTAACCCGTTAAGAATCATTTAAATTTCTTGTATACATGTGTTAACACATCAGCCTAGTGTGTTTTGTTGTGCATTTGTGAAGGGTATATTAAATAAAGTTTTACAATATATTGTGAAAAGTAATTAAAATTTTTCTATGTTACAAGATTTAATCTCATAGAAAAATGTCTTTGAAAAACAAGTGAAGTTTATATAATTGCAATTCAAAGCATAATAATGAATCTCGCATATTTTTTACCCACCAAAGATTATACATTATGATCTAAAACGAGATTTTCACTCTTTATTGTTAACTTCTTTGGATTCTGCAAAAATATTTTATGTTAGCTGACAATGTATGGTACAATTTTTAGCTTTAGATATGTCCAAATTTTAAACAATACAATTAAAATATATGAAATAAGATGGTCTGGCAAAATGATTATCCCATTAAAGTAAAAAACATGTAACTTTAAATGAGTATGATATCCTACGGTACAGATACGAGGATGACTTTCATACTAGAAGTGTTATTTTAGTTTTGCCGGTTGAAGTTGGACTACATGTAATTTTAATTTTCATTGTTACTTAGTCTTAGATTTAACCGATACACCGCCCGATAACCGCCTGATAATTACTATTCCGATATCGAACCACCCACTATTTTATTGGTTGGCTAAGGAATTAGTGCATTTAAAATCCGAAAATCGATAAGCCGAACCGTTACGCGTATTATCCGCCCGATCCGTCCGATAAGCCCTCTACCTTATAGGGTAGGGGTGGTACGCCACCCGTACAGTTCGGTAAAAATTCTTTGTAAGTATGTTGATATCTGTGAAAAAAATGATTATATTGATAAAGTGGCACCCAGATTGCACAAACATCGTGTGGGTGCCATGGTTCAGTGATGCCTCTGAAGTCTCTCACTGGCCTCAGTAATCCGAGTTCGGTTACTTATTAGGAGAAAAGGCAGGAGCACCTATAAAAATTAAAATATTTACCCTGCCCTACCCATAAAAGAATTCTACCCATTAAATAATTACAATTCCCTACCCATTTAATAAACAAACAGAGTATCTCAAAATAACTACCCACGCTAATGCCTTACCTATAAAAACGGAAAAGCTGCTCAAATTTGGCAGAATTTCAAACTTAGCACACAAAAATTGAGATTTCCATCAGCATCATAGAATCGTTGTTGAAGATTTGAAGATCGCAAGCCTGAAAAAATAGAGCGAAGATGTGTCACGACCCAAAATTCACAAGTTGTGATGACACCTAACCCGACCCGTTAGGTCAGCCAATTAACAATTAACACAATTCTAATAAAATAAATGTGATCAACAATTGATGTATCTGGATTCCAAACAACATCCCAAGGACTGGTAGTACAAGACATGAGCTACTAAGACTAGATTATTATAAAAACGGATAAGAAATAAATTCAACTTCTATTTGAAATGTACCAAAACATAATTCAACTTTAGAACTACCCATGGACAAGTGGTAGCCACATCCAGAAGGCACGAACATCTTCAGAGTCAGCTCCCGACATCACCCGCAGCTCCGCTCCAAAATTTGCACGCAAGGTGCTGATCACGTCCAAATGCACGCCTCTAACAAGGTATGACACAGTCGTTTGCAATAATAAAATCCAACAAGGAGTCGGGATTGAATCCACGGGGAGCTAAGATGGGAATTAATAGTATATAATCGGAGTGAGTACGTGAAGTATCTAGATTGCACTTCCACAAACAGGGTTTTATTTTTACTTCTGAACGTACGCTAAGGATTGCAATTCTAAAGGTATAAAACTAGAGAAGATTGTTTTTGAATGTTTTTCAAAGATATAAAAAGGCCTAGGGCTATGACTATGACCTAGGTGTTTGCTAATGGGATAAAGACTTTTATGTTGTTTTATTAACTAGGGTGTATTATAGCTCACAACACTACGTTGCTCACTCAATACCTCTCAGTCAGAGAGTGGTTTTGTCCAATTTGGCTTCCTCAAGACCAAATGGGTATCTACCAAAACGGTTGATAAGAGCTCAGGTCGGGTTGTTACTATCTCTAGGTTGAACCCTTTAATTGGGTTAATCAATCTCTCAATTGACCCAATTCCTTGTTAGCTAAGTTAACCTAGACTAGGTCTCTCTTTCTCAAGAAGAGACTAACTCAAATACATATAAGTCAATGTTTGCAACCATTAATTTCACAATTGAAGCATAAACCTAGCTAAATAACAAACACTCATTCATAAACAAGCATAAAATTAATTACCCATAAGGTTTACACACTAGTGTTAGGTCACAACCTTAGTAAAAATCTAGCTACTCATAGTGGGTATAGAAGAAAACAAAGAAGAAAAGATAATAAAACTCATATTAAGGATTAAACTAGAGAAATCCAATGTTAAATCACTAAAATAAGCTAAAGTTGCCTAAAGAAGCAAGAAAAAATGGCTACAACACTTTGAATATTCAAAACTTGACCTAATTTCGTGAAACTATTCTATTTATACAAAGCTGGAATTTTCAGGAAAAAATGCCCTTTTGGAGGTTCTGCAGCCACACAATTCCATGTGCGGTCCGCACTTTGCTTCAGCTTCACATGATTGAATCTTTGCAGCTGCACAATTCTGAACCGCACCCGCATCTCTCATCTTCTGCGGTCCGCACATTTCTGGGTGCGGCCGCGTAGGGCTCTTCTGCGGACCGCACATTTCTGAGTGCGGCCGCGTAGCTGACTTCTGCGGCCGCACAATAATTGTGCGGTTCGCACTTCCTTTGAGCTTGGAATGAGAACTCTCTGAACTTCTGATATTGCTTAGCTTCTGTGGCTGCACAATTCATGTGCGAACCGCACTTTGCACTTGTCTCTGATAAGATTGCCTTCACAATCTGCGGCCGCAGATGGAAATCTGCGGTCTGCACTTTGAGCTTTTGTGCCTGTTTTTGTCCTTGAGTTCAGATCACTCCTTCTCGAGTTGGATTTCATCTTAGTGGCTCATTTTCCAATACTCCTGCAAATAAGCATATTTCATAAGTTTTCGGGAATACAATTGAACGCTTTTGGACTAAAACGAAAGCTAAAAGGCGCTAATAAGTAGTCAAAATCCCCACTTATCAACTCCCCCAAATTTAAGCTTTTGCTTGTCATCAAGCAAATAAGGTAATTCCCATCTCCACAAGTTAAGAGCTATTCCAGCTATTCTAAGATGCACCAATCACATATAAATTGGGACCAACAATTACCCACAACACTTATGAATTATCAACAAGGCAATGATTTGAATTTTTAAGCACAAATAGTTCTAATGTGACACTTGAGCATCAAGAGTTGACTTTATTCATCAAGGAAGCTCGCTCTTTCATGTAGGTCATTGTGGATCCCAAACTCCTCCTCCTCCTCTACTCTCCATTAGCATATCTCACTTAAGAACGTAACACTCAATTCAAAGATTTGTGAAAAGTTCATTCATCTATCTTAAAAAAATATCACAAGTACGGCTCTAAGTACCATATGCTTTCCCCTTATGTAGATCACCACTAATGTAAGTTCACTCCGCTTGAAATCACGTAGGGCTTTTTTGAAATGTAATGAAGGCTTTTGGACTAAGGTTGGATATGTTGGAATAGAATGGGTTCATTTTTCGTTAAGCGCTCCATCTTTTTTTTTTCGGCTCATATTTTGTCGACTCTTTGAGGCATTTTCTTTTTTCTAGGGAAACTAGAGAGACTTAACATCACTCTTTCTTGGTCATGATATTCATTTTCTCCTTCTTTGTTTTCTCCATGCTCTGTATCGTTACTTTTCTTTGGATCCCTTCAACTCTTCAACTTATTCACTTTCTTTTGCATTTTTCTTTTTGTTCTTTCTTTCTTTTTCTTTGCCTTTCCTTTTCTTCATTTCTTTTCTCTTTTTGTGCCTTAATACCTTTTTCAAACTCCTTGCCTCTCCCCTAAACTTATGTTTTAGCCAATTATTTCTCAAGAGTGTTAAGAAAAGCTCGGGTGCCAACAGAGAGTCACTACAAAACGGGTAAAGACTTGTAATATGGTTATCAAATGAGAAAGGTTTTAGGCTCAAATGGGTTGACTAGGGATAACAACATTGGTGGGACATGAAATTTCAAACGGGTCAAGGAGAGACTACAATCACTTCTCAAGCCAAGCAAAAATTAAAATTTCACCTAGAAACACATTCGGGGCAAGTTCTAGACCATTCGCACGGGTACTTGGACTTGCAACTAAAACATCTCACCTCTCACACAGCTGGATTGTTAAATAGGATAGAGTCGAGGGCCCACAACGATCATATTCAAGATTGAAAATCACTAATGTCTCGACTAAACCACTCGATGATTGCTTAAGTCAACACAAGAGTCAGAAGGTCACTAACTAGAGCTATTTCTTTCCAAGAACTTGTTTTTAATCATAAGCACGTAGTTAAGTGTGTTGGTACCAAGTGAAGCATGTTTGACTCTTCGAGTATGACTCAATTAGGTCTTTTTATTAATTTTTGGCGCCGTTGCCGGGGAGCTAAAAGACAGATTTAGCTATATATTTAGTTTTGTGTGTGAGTTGTCTTCTTTTCCTTCTGTGTTACTAATCTTTTTTGTGAAACAATTGTAGGTGAAACAATGGCTCTCAAAAATGATCCACTCGAAAACATG